ACACCTCTCAGGAAGTCTTTTCTCTCAGTTTTCAATTATTTTTGGACTACATAAAACAGAGCAATTCTTATGTTGCAAAGAACTCACAAAGATCAAACAGGCCAGAATGTTTTTGTTACCATGGATTCCTATTTGAAATAGATAAGTTCGTCTTGTGAATCATGTGTAGATATTTGTACATCTACTGGTGCTAATATAATGTGATACCTCATGGCACCCTTAAAAGGATCTTGCGTTGTCCCAGGGTACCACGGCTCCCTGGGTGAGAAGTACTGCTCTAATTAGAGGTCCACCAATACATTGGTTCATATCATATTGGCACCAATAAAAGGAAAATTGACATTATCAGCAATCAGCTTTTTTTGGCTGATGTGGCCGATGTCGCCTATAAGTGCCATGTACATGCGCAGAGCCACAGCATGCATGCGGCCGAGTGCAGCCCAGCAGCTTGGAGAGCGGTGTCTGGCTGGTAAGTCTGTGGGGGGAAAGGGGCAGGGGAAGGGAAGGGGCGTAGTGGGGCAGATCAAGGCCCCCATGGTGAAGGAGGGAGTGGAGCTCTGTGTGCAGTGTCTGTGTAGACACTGCACACAGCCAGGGTGGGGTGCAGTGCAGGACAGAGCTGCAAGCAGCAAATCTGGGAAGTGCAAGGTGGCAGCTCCCACTGCTGTGTGCACCCCCGAGAAGACCTGGGGGCATGTGCCCCCTGCATCTGTGCGAAGGGTGTGGGATGAGGGCAGGCTGCGTGCTCGCAGCCAGGAGCACGGCTGGGCTCTTCCCTGTGGCAGGGGAGCAGGGGGGAGCCTGGGCCAGGGCTGCACTCAGGCTGGGCAAGGTGGGCAGTGGCAGCACAGGGAGAGGGGAGGGCTACAGCTAATAGCCAATATACAGACCATATCCCTCCATAGCCCCTCTCCCAGTACGGCTGCCGAGCTGTATATTGACAATCAGTTGTAGCCTTCCCCTGTACTCCCCCATCCCAGTGCTGCCACTGCCCACCTTGCCCACCCTGAGTGCAGCCCCGGCTCCGAGCACACAGCCCGCCCTCATCCCATGCCCTTCACACAGATCCAGGGGGCACATGCCCATGCCTCCCCTAGGGGTGTGTGCACCAGCAGGAGCCACCCACCCCTGTGTTTCCCGGATGAGCCACTTGTGGCTCCGTTCCATGCCCCACCCCACCTGTGCAGTGCTTGCCCCTGCCCCAGCCCCACTCCCTCCCTCAACACAGGGGTCTTGATCTGCCCCCCAGTGCCCCTTCCCTCCCTCAAGCCCTTTCCCCCACCACAGACTTACCAGCCTGATGCGGTTCTCCAAGCTGCCAGGCTGCATATTGGCAATTGGATCAGTATCAGCTGATACAGCTCGTTAATAAATCAGCCATCAGTATTGGCCCAAGAAATCTTTAATAAGTGCACCCCTAGCTCTAATAGTTGAGCTCCATCTGAGTAGCTGGGATACTGGCCTTCTGGAATTGAGGCCAGCATGATTAATATGAACTAAACTAAACTAAGAAATGAGGGAAGAAGATTAGAAAAGATGTGATCTCTGTGTTTGCTGTTAGCACATAGGAAGAGAAAAATTAAGTAACCCAGGATACAGGAATTGATAAAGGAATATCAGAAGGCTGGATGTAGAGCAAGAAGCAGCAAAAGATATTAATATTTATGAGAACAGTAGTCAGAAAGATAATAGTGTTTAAGAAGTGCCTACACGTAATCCAGGAAATAGACAGTGGCCAATAAGAAACAACCAAAATGTTTGTCTACTAAGGAGTGGGGAAAACAAAGGAGAGGAACTAGAATTACAGGTGCAGAACACAAAATTTGAAGTTATAGAGATAATAGAAATATGATAGAATGACAATCACAACCTGGAACACAGAAATGGAAGGGAATGATCCATTCAGGAAAGGTGGTGGTAGTGGGACAACACTGTACACTAATTAAGTGATACACTGTAAATAAATCACAATAGCATAGATAAAACTAAATATTTTTAGGTCAAAGGCATTTTGGGGAAGAAAGGAAAAATGGTAACAGACTTTCGATTGAGCCAGTATTGGAAGTCTCTACTGAGACTTCCAAGGTCTGCTTCCAAGGTCAGAGTTAGATATGCATAGAGATCTCTAACATTATTTGAGACAGGCAAACTATTACCAGGAATTGTGTCATGAGTGATTAACTTCCCAGATATAGATGCTATTATGTTACTAATGCTACTAATGCAAGCCAATGCTACTAATAACAGTAAGGCTCAAACATTTCTGGTTGAGATACCTGATAGATTCCTTCACCAAATAGTTATTGAACCAACAAGGCAATGTTGTTTTAAATTTGTATTTGGTAGGGGGAGACATTCATTGAAGAACTGGTCATATAAAATAACCCTGAATGAAGTAATCACAAGTTATTTATCTTTTCATTTAATTTGAACTGAATCAAAAGCAGGTCTATATGGTTATCAATTTCAAAAGGACAGATTTTAAAAGCTAAGGAAACAAGCTTGTGAAGTTGACCAGACTGGAGATCGGTGACTAGAATGTGGAATAGATGTAAAGACTTGGATTTTAATTAAGTCAAAAGTGGGGAGGGGGAGGGGAGGAGGGGAAAAAAAATACAACCCAACTGAAAACTATTTGAAAACTGTATCCCAAGCTTAGAGAAATAAATTAAAGACCTAACTGGATGAATAACCACTTCAAAAAGCATATCAGAATTAAGGAGAGTCTATGAGGAATGGAAAGAAGGACTGATTCAGCGAAGAAAGCCTTCCAGGTCAGTAAGTGTAGGTATTAAACAAGAATTGGCAAAAGTCAAACTAAGTACCCTGCAAAGAAATTCAAAACAAGTCGTTTGAGAGATTTTTAGAACAAAGGTTCTTTAGTCAGATAAAAAAGAACAGAGGAAAAAAAATCTTGTGGCTACCACGCAATGAGAACAGAGATTAAAAGGACTGAAACTCTGGGTTCCTCCCATCACCCGACTTCAGGTGAATGCTCTCAATGCTAAGCTATATTTGCATATGTGTAGCCCACCCCAAGCTTCAGTTGTAAAATCTGAGCAGATAAGATTTTGCACTGTCAAAAATAGCCTGTAACTTGGTTAGCTGCATTAACTTGAAGTCAGGCAGAGGGTAGGATATAGTGGCACCTAGTCTCTGAACCAGTTAGGTTCTAAGATGCCACCCTGCCCTACCCTTCTGTGTGCCCCCTGTATCTGTGTCAGTACAAATTCCTCCATTCTTTTCAGAATATTTACAAAACATTAGGGTTAAAATCAAACCACATTTATCATTTTAATTATTAAAATTCTTCTCCAAAAGTGACATTCAGCCCACATTTAAAATATGCTTTCATTTTCTGGATTGAAAAGGAAAACAAGGTACAAGTCCAGCTTCAGACATGAATTATAATGAAAGGTAATGAACAGAGTGTGGCATGTCAGGAATACAAGACACAGCTCTGAAACCCTGAATCGTGGGATATGGCTAAAATTTTCCATGTGTGAAATCTAACGGGGGTGGGGGGGGAAGGGTGCATCTTAAATTCAAGGTTATCTTAGATTCAGGTAAATACGATACTTTTAATAGGGCTAACACCACTGAGGTTTGATTACAGACAAGTTGAGACAAGAGTTATGACCTGAAATAAAGCCAGAGACAAGCCTCATGGAGAAATAGTTAACTGAAAGATTAAGCTTTAATGTACCTTTCTGATTACATGTTTTGGTATTTAGGGAATCCAATATATATATATATTGATGATTCTCTTTAAAATCTATACAAACAAAAAAAATTCCAATAAAATATACAGAAACCAGTTTTACACTAATTCGAAATTGATGGTAAATGAGCATGCATTATCTATGGAAAGTGATCCTATTATATTCATAACTGTCATTTTGAGATGCCAACTTATAGAGCTGCTATTTTGGCATTAAGCATCAATAACTACTGATCAGAGTTTTTGTAGGGCAAAAGGAAGTAAAAAACACATTATATCCTTCAAATCTCTTCCAAATAAGAAAAGTCATAAATAAGGAAATAACAGCCAAAATGTTGATACACTGCATGGCACCATCATAATCTAAATCAGCAGTTCGCAACCAGGGTGCCACAAGACGCTTTTAAGGGTGCTGCAAGGGTGCTACTACTCAGTACTGTATGTTGGGCACAAATGAGTGGAAGTGTATATGCAAAGCCATCCACTGGCATGCCAACAAGAAATTTAAAGAAAATTAGACTGCCAAAACCATATAGCTTTCTTCATCAAGGAATTCAAGCCATTAGAAGATATCATCCGTTTTTCAGGGGTTATAGCTATGTTGGTCTAAAGATCTAGGCAGACAAGGTTATTTGGGTAAATGTAATATCTTTTATTAGTCCAACTAAATAGTTGGAAAAACTGTACTTTACAAGCTTTCGGGCAGAAATACCCTTCTTCAGGCATAGGGAGAGTCTGCTGGTGTTTGTGTACTCTCTTGAGTGGAACAGAAGCTTAAGCCAATATGGAAATGCAGGTCTGTGAAAATGCAAGTGTGGCAGGGAAGATCAAAGGGGATGGGAGTTAATGGGGGGGAGAGGGATGTGGGGAGGGGGAAAAAAAATACAGAAGGGAATGTTGACCGGTGATAAAATGTAGCTGGTAAACCGTTGAGAGGTTACCTGGGGCTACCGGATGGCAGGCATGCATATCTACACAAAACCAGTAATCACCCTAAACACACCAAGAAAGCTGTAATATATAGCCAAGCCCTTTGATACCACCAAATTTGTACTGAAAATACCCATCATTCTCACGTCACAAATCTCAAACAGGCTTTCACTCAACAAGGACACTTGTCCGGAGAGATAAATCACACTTTTGAAAGAGCCACTCAGACACGAGATTTTGCCCTAAAGCTTGTAAAGAACAATTTTCCCAATTATTTAGTTTGTTTAATAAAAATATCATGCTGTCAGCCATTTACAGTCTATTATAAAAATATATTTTTTTTAATTACCTGTTTTGCCAACAACTTCCTGTAATTCAGCAACAGAAGTTATTATTGCAGCAAGGAGGTCAGAACTCGCAAACCAGCTGAGAGCTTCAAGGCAACGCAACTGTTCCTTTTGAGGTTCTGTGAATCAAAAATATAGTAATACATTAATATATGTATCACACTATATCTTTAGCTATTCAGAAACTAATCAAAATAAAATGCATACAAAATTCCTACTCAAAGCTGATCTTTCCTTAAGGAAATTTTAGATCAGTGGTTCTCAACCATTTTATATGCAAGGTATCCCACTATAATTTTGTGACTGGGGTAGCACCCTAGTTGAGAACTACTGTCGTAATGTCTCAGTTCACCTACTTGATTGTCAGGCTACTGTGCTGACTCCACTAGTTGAAACTGCTTTGCATGCCTCTGATTCTAGGAGGCACCTGTGGAACCTAACTGGGAAGTGTCTATGACAGGAGTAGGTACTCCTGCCTGCATTAGGCTTGTAGGCACAGATGCCTCTTAGAAACAGGTGCACAGAGCAGTTTCACCTGGCTGACACTGTTGCAGCACCCTTAAAAGCATCTTGTGGCATCCTGGTTGAGAACTGCTGATTTAGATTATGATGGTGCCATTCAGTGTGTCAACATTTTGGTTATTTCCTTTTTTATGACTTATTTGGAAGAGATTAGAAAGGATATAATGTGTTTTTTACTTCCTTTTGCCCTACAAAAAGAAAAAAGCCCCTCTAAATTTAAATTGAAAATGTCTCCGCACAGAGCTATATTTTGATTCAAGGATTATTTTGGTCATTTTACTGTCAAATGCATCTTACAACATTTGACTGCAAAAGATGAATGTCTGATTTATTTTTTTAAGTAGAAGCTTTTCTCTAGGTCTGCATTTGTTTGTAAATTGCCATCACTATAATAAATGTTTGTAAAACATTGATCTAAAATAATCATCCATCTATCTATCCATCTTTCTATCTATAGTTACAGATCTATGCATCGCTCCTCTTTCAGTTTTCAGACTGATCCTAGTACTTGGGTTTTAGGAAACCTCTAAACCAATATTTTCCTACATTTTTTAAAGTTGCTAGGTGTACGATCACCAATTGTATTTTTAAAATAATTATTACTACTACTACTATTGTTACTATTAGTACCATTATTATTATTGCTAAGCAATAACAGTGTAATTTGACAGAACCAAATATCTTACTTGGCAGATCAAACTTGTCCTTGGACTGTCCTATGCAAACAAGGATTCCTACACCTTCTCTGAAACCATCTACCCAGGAGAAAAGAGAACTACATGACTGTCCCAAAATTTTAAGCCTGTTTGCTGCCAGAACTGCAATAACACCTTTCCGGAATACACATATCATGCCTTTGAAGTGTTTTTTCTTTATCTTCAGTTCATCTTGCTTCTTTTCCTCTATGCCAGACAAAGCATGAACAAGAGTCCTAATTTCCTGGTTGAGTGCTTCATAGGTGTGGACTTGATCCTGCAGAAAGTCTCTTTGTGTAGACAAGGCACAAGTTCGGCTGTATAGAGGATAGAAGGCACCAGCCATTAGTGCGCAGGCTGCAAGCAGAGATGAGCAGTCCTTTTGAGCCTGGGTTAACGTACTTTTCAAGTGGGAATGTTCAAGGACCAACTTCTCCCGCACGTTTTCAATCACAGAAATTTTTTCCTTGTTTTTTTCTGCCATTTCTTGATATTTCTAAAAATAGAAAAGGAATTGTTAACTAAAGTATTTCTTAAATTAAAAATTAGTTCAGTAGATATTTATAGTTAAACCTTACAGGATAACTTTCTTTATACCATCCTTTTCTATTCAGCTCCAACAGGATAGTGAATTAAAAATACGTATTAAAAAAAAAAAAAAAAAATCACAATAGAAATTATCAGATCTAGTTATTATAATGGAATTATTTTACATTATTCTTTTCTCTTTGATGCATAGCCATATCATAAATCTAAAAATATGTTATCACATTTGTGATACAGCACTGGCCTTCTACACTGCTATAGAGAACATGGATTCTAATTTTCAGATCTCACAAGCTGAAGACAGAGTACAATACCATACTCAACCTATAAATTAGTTATTTCCTGAAAAAGTATCCCAAAAGCAGAAGACAAATTAATTTAGAAGAAAGAGGTGTAAAAAATAAAAAAGGAAAAACTTTGGAAAATAAAACTAGACAGATTGGCAGCAGCTGGGAAGGGGAAGTAAAGGTGATTTCTTAATTAGTTTGTAATCAACCCCCTACTTATATATTCATGGCTTAATTATGCCTCAAACAGAAGTGTGTTCTCAAACAAACACTAGTAAAAAGTATTGTTTTTATTTTGACCAGCCATTGGTGGCTTTTTTATTTTTCAATTTAAAAGATCTGCTTTTGTTATAACTAAATACAATTGCAGAGAATTATGAATTTTATTAATTAAATTGTTAAAAACATATAATAAAGTTAATAAAAAGTTCTCAAGCTTGTCCTTTCAGCCAGTGAATGAACAGGTAAGGTTTATACTGTGCTCTTAGAAAATCCAGTTCTCTATACTCTAGGGTGCACACCAAATTCCAGAATCATGTACCAAAAAACACGTCTTCCAGCCTCTGATCATTTGTATTGATCATAGGTTCCTGAATGCTAATCAAGATTACTTAGCATAGTGAGGCTGGCATGTAGATGATTAAATCAAACATCCCATTCCTTGAGCTAATTAACTAAGAATGGGAGGAAGAATGACAATTCAAAGAATTTGAGAGAAAAAAGCCTGAGCAACCATCATTGTCTTTCTATTTTTGACTCAGGATGAGAATAAAATAAAGTTTATTTTCTATAAATTGATGAAGGTATAAAATAAAATATTCAGTACAAGTAAATTATTTCCCAGTTTTATCAACATTTAGGGCTTATGTAAATATATAAGCCCTTATATAGTGCTTATATAATCAATTTAGTAGTTGTTAAATTTTGAAGTAATTTAAAGAGTTATTATAGAGAAGCAGCTATTTTTTTTTCAAAGAGGCATTGTATATGCATTTGTTTGAGATAGTTTAGAAACAGCAAAGCCTCCATTTGTACAGAGGGTTGGATTAGATCAGTGGGGCTAAGGTTTTTGGCAGGCATGCTACAAATTAGCCCCAGACCCTCCCCGAGTGCCACTCCAGTTCTCTTCCCCTGCTGTCCAATCTGTGGCTCTGCTTCCAACTTCCTGCCCAATCTGCTGCTCTGCATTCTGCTGTATCTGTCACTGTGCTGCCTCTCTGATCTGCCATGTAGCACTTGCAGTGCGCATGCTGCAGGCTGGCCACCCCTGGATTAGATAACCTTTGATGTCCCTTCCAACTCTATGACTTCAAGAAGAACCAAGTAACAGGTCTACATTCACATCAATATATTACACATACATGCACAGAAAGGCGGAAAGATACTTCATAAATTGCAGCAAAATTATGATTCTCGTCACTATACAGGCAACCTCTGTGGGAAAGATGAAATGGCTAAGTGGAAAAGGCAAGAAAACCTTGAAATCGTGGAAAGTCCTAAAATCAATGAGGAATCACAGAGACAAACCCTGTGCTTGTACTGAGCATGGATTAGATATATCAGGAAAATATGAACACTCAGTACCGCAGAAAAATTAGGTTTACAATATAAATGACAGAACTTGTGGTTACCAATACAATACAAATGAAAGAGCGTTTGTTCATTTCATTCTCCTCTTAATTTCTGATTAATTTTATTAAATTACAAGATTCTCAGTGCAGGACAAGTGTTGAGGGTTACAATTTGTTTGAGTGACCAAGATGCAAACTAGTTATAGGGATTTTTTTTTTTTAATTTAAATCCAAAATTACAATACAAGAACCTGTTCCGTTTAAGAAGTATTATTAATTTTGCAAAGGCTGTCAACAAGCAAAGTGACCCCGCCAGATTATTGTATCAGAGTGTTAAGTGACGCAACCATTTGTAAATAGTGATGCGGTGGCCAAGTGTATCAGCAATTTGACCCAACATGTGAGCGATGCGTGATCAGAGTGTGATCACCTGTGGTCTAGCCAATCAAAGACCACCTAATGGGCATGGCTGGCTGGCCAGCATGTCCATGGGTTCCAGAATGTACCATCAGGGGAGCTTCCTGATTGGCCAAAAAAGTTATATAGGGGACCGCACACCTCAGTGCGTGGTCCCCAGGCTCTGACTCTCAGGAC